CAATTCTTATATCTAAGCAGAGAAAATTCTTTCTAAAACGCATTTTAATATTATAGCCATGGAGTAGGGGTAATTGTAATTGTGTAGTATGTACACTTCTTTTGTTTGTTTGTTGTTAAGCGCAAAGCTACACAATGGGCTATCTGTGCTGTGCCCACCACGGTTGTCGAAACTCGGTTTTTAATGTTATAAGCCCATAGGCTTACCGCTGAGCCACTGGGGGGCATTAACCAAATAGTTAGAAACTTACAACTGCTGCCACAGCTAAACATATATTTATGTTATGCATGAAACGCTATATATATAATATATATATATATTTGCATATACAGTGTGTATGTAGATATACATGTTAGAGAATTTTAATATTTATCTTTTCCTTCTTTGTACAGATTTGTTGAATATAACAATTTACAGTGGAAATATTAAAGTACAGGTGGCGTTACTTATAAAACTTGTACTTAGTAATCCATGTAATAATCGAAGATTTTCAATCGTAAAAACATTGTGATTTGCCCCTACATGATATCAAAGCAATGGCAATTTTATACAAAAAAAACGATAACAACATATCAGTGTAATAAAACACAGAAGTTTAAAGAGTTAATAAAACATAAAAAACAACTAGTCTTAGCAGACCGAGCTTGTTATTTTCACTTGAAAATGTTTTGTTAATTCTTTAGCCCTGTGTGCATTATTCTGCTGATGTGTTCTCCTTCCTTAGACATTTTTTTATATTATCAAATCCATATCTTATTCAAATCCTTAAACGAGCCAATCACACCACGCTAGAGAGTTTTTATTGGCTCTGTTATCGACAGTTGCCCCCAGTTACCATTATTCTTTTGACGTTCAAACGATACACATTTTGTTCGTTCATTAATATTTATGGCTTGTTTGATAACTTGTAAAATTTCAACAATTGTAATTATAATCTAATGAACGAACAATTGTCTGTTTATTATTAAGCACAAAGCTACACAAAGGGCTCTTTCTAGCATTATAAGTCCGCAGACATACCACTGTGCCACTGGGGGGCCTGGACGAACAAAGGATACAGACTAGAAATATTGACAATTTGCAATAGGTCTGACAAATCCTGGTGGTTAGGGGACTCGACTCGCAATTTGTGGATCACGGGATCGAAACTCGTCACTGAACATGCTCGTCCTTTCAGCCGTGGGGTAGTTATAACGTGATGATTAAGTCCCATTTGGAGGTGGGTTGAATTGTCTACCTGCTTTCCCTCTAAAGACGGCTAATGCAGATAGCCCTCGAGTAGTTTTGTGCGAAATTCAACAAACAAACAAGCTTTCGGAAGCTAGATTTTTTATTTATTTTTTATCGAATGTAGAAGAAAAGTATCTCCCGAAAGCGCTTGGTTAGTGGATTTCTTTAATTTTGAGTTATCCGAAAATGTTTCATCTAACATGTTTTCAAAGAATCGTGTACAATTTCATTTCTTGATTATAATTTTAGAAATACGTTCAATGCATTTTTATATCAAATCATATGCACGTACACCTCTATGTTACAAGAATATATAACTGTTACTCCCAGTGGCACAGCGGCAAGTCTGTGAAGTTATAAGGTTAAAAGCCAGTCGATGCACAGATGATGTTGTGCTGAACTGTAGATAAATGATAATGAAATAGGCAACTGTTAGATATTTAACTGTGAGAACATAGGATGTGATCTTTACACGGAAAATTCCCAATAGGAATCCGTCATACTTACCGTGGAAACATATTCGAAATAGCGTACATTTCTTTAATGGCTAGAACGGTTGAGTACAGGGGCGGATTGGGATGGCTAAGCGGCCCGGGACTGGGATCACAGAGTGGCCCT